TGACTGAAATGCGCCAAAAACTTGCATCTGTTCTGCAGGCAAGAGTTCGTGTGGTTTTGGAAACTTGGTGTCGTATGCTTACTCATCGCAGCAATAAAAGTTGATGTTTGTTTTGTCTATTTTTCAGAACCGTGGAATGTTGAGAAGTGCCAAGAGAAGCTAAAATGTTATTATGACACCTTCAGTAAGGTGAAAATCGTTCCATGGGACGAAAGCTGTTCCATTGAAATTAATGAGATCTACACATCTCTGAGTTGGGTGAGAGATCACAGGAGACCCAGCGGAGTGACACAAGAGGAACTTGAAGACTATACCGACATGTTCATGGGAAAACAAACACGAATACTTGTTTATGGTCGGCCAGGAATTGGTAAAAGTACGTTTTGTAAGAAGGCTGCATATGACTGGTCGAAAGCCTTAAAAGAAATCCTAATGAACTTTACCATTTTGCTTCTGATTAAGTTGAGAGATGTGTGTGGTTTAGAAGACATCCGCGATGTTTTACGTGCGTCTAAATTGCTGGCCAGTGATGGTCCGATCTCAGTTGATAGTCTCTATGATTACATAATTAACAATCAAGATAAAGTGCTTCTTATTTTGGATGGCTACGATGAGTACCGCTTTGCAAAAAAACACTCACCTATCCTTGCAATTTGGAAAGGCGAGCAACTAAGAGATTGTCACGTTATTGTCACCACGCGTCAACTTGAATGTGACGAGTTAAGAGGCCCCAGCCACGTTCAGTTAGAAATTCAAGGTTTCAAAAGCTGGGAACGAAAAGAAAGCTTTGCAAAAAAAATTTTGGCAGATGAAGAAGATCTTGACGAGTTCATGTCCTACCTGGAAATGAAAGATCTCGAAGACGTGGCAGAAATACCTCTCCTCCTACTGATGCTGTGTACTTTGTGGAAAGTGAAAGATCACGAAGGACTGCCAAAATCACGGGCCGACATATTCATACAATTCATTCAAACCATGCTACATCACAAAGGTGAAATTCAACTGCCTATGCCATTTCAGGAAATGACCTCAACGGAAGCCAGAGAAGACCTTAGTAATCTTGGAAAGGTTGCCTTTAAAGCACTTCTACAAGACCGTCTTTACGTACGCTGCAGCGAACTCCCCGGCAATATTTCAAGAAGTTTTGAAAAATTAAGAGAAGTTGGGCTTTTCCAGATTGTCAATCTTCCGAGTCTCAATCCTGAGAAAGGGGCCTATTTCATTCATAAATCCGTCCAGGAGTTCCTTGCAGCCTGGCACATTAAGGAGGAGGTGTTATCGATGAAAGGAGAAAGTGCGCCTAGCCTTTCCAAAGTTGAATCATTTGAAAAGATCGTGAAGATGAATGAAGTTCTGAAATTTGCCTGTGAGCTGTCAACAGAAGCCGCTTACGCAGTTTTCCGTCATGTAGCGTCTGTTGGAAGAGAGGAATCTTTCCGAACCGAACCGTTGTCTCAACATCAAGAACTTTGTCGTGGGCTTATCTCGCACAGCTACTTTTGTTGTTCGGCCGAGAAGAGGCGAGATCTCTGCTCAGTGTT